TAGCTTACGAGGGTCTTGCGCTTCACCTGCTGCTGCTGCTGCTGCTGCTGCTTGCTGCTGCGTGGGTGTACGTGCAGCTGCAGTCTGGCGACGCGGGGGATATGCAGGAAATGATGAGAGCCTTTGCGGGCCTTGGCGGCAGGTAATGGCGCTAGCTAGCTAGCCAGCTAGCCAGCCAGGTAGCTACTGAGCTAGTTGCGTAGCTGCCTAGCTAGCCAGCTAGCTAGCCAGCTAGCTAGCTGCGGCAAGCGCATCTGTTTGGGTGGAGAACCAAAGCCGCCGTTGCCCCTGTAACATGTGGGGAGCGGCGCAGCTAGCTACCTGGCTAGCCAGCTAGCCACCTGGTTAGCTACCTGGCTAGCCAGCTAGCTGGCTAGCTGCAGGGGTAGTCAGCTAGCTGGCTAGCTGCAGGGGTAGTCAGCTAGGTCCAGCGCTAGCTGGCTAGCTAGCTAGATTGCTAGTTAGCTAGACGGCTAGCTAGCTAGCCAGCAAGACACCGCTAGATGGCTAGCTGGCTAGCTAGCTAGCCAGCTAGCGGTGCTTTGTGTCTACACTCTACATCCCCAGCCTTCGCTTCGGGCAGATCTCAAACCCTAAACCCTCAATGCTAAACCCTAAGCCCTAGGCCCTTTAATAACAGTCTGCGAAACAAGCGCTGCTGCTGCAGGGACAGCGCAAGCAGCTACAGCAGCAGTTTGCTGCAGCAGCACCGAACTGCTGCTGCAGCTGGTGCAGCAAATGCATGCGTGGTTGGTCGTTCACCCCTCCGCGCTCCCCTCATTCTCAGCAGCAGCTGCAGCAGCAGCAGCAGCTGCTGCTGCTGCTCTTTTTTCTGCAATTGCTGCTGCTTCTTGAAGAGGAGGCAGCAACTCTATTTCTCTGTCATACATATCCATACTACAGCCAAGGAGACCGTCTGCTGCAGCAGCAGCAGCAGCAGCAGCAAAAGCAGCATAGGCCTTTACAGAGCGCAGCAGATCCTCGCATGCAGCAGCGATCTGCTGCAGGTCAGCTGCTTCTGCTGCTGCTGCTGCTGCCTCTTCTTCAGTTAGTTCTCGCTGCGGTTGCTGCTTTGGTTCCTGCTGTTGCTGCTCTAGCGTTTGCTGCTGCTGCTGTTCCTGCTGCTGCTCCTGCTGGTGCTGCAGGTCCTCCTGCGCTCCTTGCTGCTGCTGCTGCTGCTGCAGTGGTGCTTTGGCTGCTGCAGCATTCCGCTTCCCCCGGCGTTTATTTTTGCGTTTTGCTGCAGCAGCAGCAGCAGCAGCTGCTGCTGCTGCCCGACGGGGGAAGAGAGATTCAGCAGCAGCCTGAGCCAGCACCTGCAGCCGCATGGCTGTAGCAGTGGTGGTACTGCTGCTGAAGTTTGCTGCTGCAGCAGCAATTTGTGTCTTTGCTGCAGCTATGCGGTCGTCTAAGTACAGCAGCATGCACTCTAGCGAGCCCGGAGAAGCGGCTGCTGCTGCAGCGAGAACCTTGCTACTGCACCGTTGCTGCAGCAGCTGCTGCTGCTGCTGCTTCTGCTGCTGCTGATGTTGCTGCTGCTGCAGAGCTTCCCCAAACAGCTCCAACGCCTTTAGAGGGTTTGTGTTGCTGACAGCCGCGATATGCACTGCTGCTGTTTCAGCTTCTGCTGCTGCTGCGGCAGCAGCAGCTGCTGCTGCTGCTTCTGCTGCTGCTGCAGGGGCCTCATCGAATAGCAGCCGATGCCGCACAAGCTGCTGAAGCTGGCAGCAGAGCTGCTGCTGCTGCTGCCGGAACTCTCCCCACTGCTGCAGCAGCAGCAGCACTTCTTCCCAAGGCAGCTCTCCCCTTGCTGCTGCTGCTGCTGCTGCTGCCGTGCTGCTGCTACATTTTGTGCTACTGCTGCTACTGCTGCTAGATTTCGTGCTGCGGCTTGGAGCAGCAGCAGCAAGGAGGAGTTCTTCTATATCTGCTGCTGTCTGCGCTGGGGTGTACGGACAGCTCTGGGGGGTTGCCATCCTATGAAGTCGGCGAAAAACCCTAAACCCTAAACCCTAAACCCTAAACCCTCAAGCGTCTATAACTCAGGAGGTTTCTTGTACTTCCACACGTTATTGGGGGGGTGCTGCTCTAGAAACATTTGCTGCAGCAGCCTTGGGCGATCTGCTGGTGCTGCTGCTGCTGCTGCCCGACACCGCAGCAGCCGATCTAAGTTGCGCATCCATACGCCGCTGATGTCTTCATCTGCACCGCATACACCCTAAACCCTAAACCCTAAACCCTAAACCATAAACCCTAGGCATCCTCCTACCGCAGCTCGCTTATCCTGAACTTGCAACCCTTGAAACCGTAGCCTGAAACTGTAACACCCCAAACCCTAATCCCTAAACCCTAGACCCCAAACCCTAAACCCTAAACCCTAAACCCCAAACCCTAAACCCTAAACCCTAAACCCTACCTGCATGGTGTATTCTGGGCAGCGAGAAGGCATTGATAGCAGCAAAACGCCACCCAAACCACTCATCTAAACAAGACAAAGAAAAACCTTCTTCTGCTGCTGAAGAATAAGAGGGTATAAGGCCGAACCACGCGTAAAAATTAACAAAGTCTCCGGGAAGAGCAGACGTCTTCAGAGCCATCCTACACAAACCCTAAACCCTAAACCCTAAACCCTAAACCCTAAACCCTAAACCCTAACGTGCATGTCTCCTCCGAGGGAAACGCAACACCTTAAGAAAATTCACAAACAAATTATATTCATATCGAATTCTAAAACCCTTGAGGGATTCTATACTAGGGTCTAGCCTTTGCGGATTAGGGTTTAGGGTTTAGGGTTTAGGGTTTAGGGCCTCGGGCCCCCTGAGCAGCCCCATGGTCTCTCTGCCTTCCAAGCCCTTAAGCTGAGGGTTTAGGGTTTACAAATCTCTTTAGGAGAAGCAGCTGATTAAATTTGCAGCGAAACCCTGAACCTGTAGATATCCGTTGGTTTGGGTTTTAGGGTTTAGGGTTTAGGGTTTAGGGTTTAGGGTTTAGGGTTCCTTTCAGGGGCCCCACACTGCGGCCGAAACCATCTGAGCCTGTTCATATTTAGGGTTCTACAGAGGGAAACAAAACCACAAACCCTTAAACTGAAGCACTGAAACTCTAAACCCTAAACCCTAAACCCTAAACCCTACTTCTTGCAGCGCCTTCCGCGCTGTGGGAAGCTGCAAGGAATATTACAACAGCTGCTGCAGCAGCAGGATTAGCAGCAACAGCAGCCTTTTGTAGCAGCATCAGCTGACAGCAGTAACAACAGAAGCTGCAGCAACAGCAGCAGCAGCAGCAACAGCAGCTGCAGCAACAGCAGCAGCAACAGCAGCAGCAGCTGCAACAGCAGCAGCTGCAACAGCAGCAGCAGCAGCAGCAACAGCAGCAGCAGCAACAGCAGCAGCAGCAACAGCAGCAGCACGAGGAAGATGGCTGGGCGTCGCGCAGCAAAACGGAAGCAGCGCCAGCGTGTGAAGGCAGCAGCGGGTCGTCTATCTGCTGGCAGCAGCAGCAGCAGCAGCAGCAGCGGATCATCATCAGCAGCAGCAGCAGAAGAGGGACCCTCTAGCATTGTTGTGAGGCGCGGCCGAGTGTCGCCTTCATGCCGCCAACTAGTAAGAGACTGGAGACATGTTGTGGGGCCCCGGGTGTCTGTACACCTGAGAGAGAGCCGAAGAAATAAACAAAAAGATTTTCAACGTGCAGCAAATTATTTAGGCGTTTCGCATCTACAAACTTTAACTCAAACAGATAAAGGAGTTTATCTTAAAGTCTCTAAGCTACCTAGAGGGCCCACTCTAACCTTCCAGGTACTAAACCCTAAACCCTAAACCCTAAACCCTAAACCCTAGCTCCTGTTTATCTTCAATAAACCCTAGCAGCAAGCAAACCCTGACGAACTATAAACCCTTATAAACCCTCACAAGCCCTAAACCCTAGTCAGCAACAAAACCGCGTCAAGAGAAGATCTGTGCCGGGGCTGCTGCCAGGGAGAAAACGATACTACTCCCTAGGGTTTATTGCTTAGGGTTTAGGGTTTAGGGTTTAGGGTTTAGGGTTTGTGCCTTCAGGTATTGAATTTCTCTTTAATTGGAGATGTTCAGAGAGAAGTTAGCGGTGCGCGAATAGACCCAAAGGACCTCCGCAAGCCCCCACTGCTCATCTTAAGCAGCAGCAACAGCAGCAGCAGCAGCAGCAGCAGCAGCAGCAGCAGCAGCAGCAAGAATGCGGAGGGTTTAGGAAAAGCTCAGGCGCTGCAGCTAACCACCTCAATGCTGCGGTCTCTCTTCTCTCCTGTAGACCTCCGAACAGCTAGGGTCCTAACCTCAAACCCTAAACCCTAAACCCTAAACCCTAGAGCTAACTGACTGATTAAACCCTGAGCCCTAGAGCTAACTGACTGATTAAACCTAAACCCTAAAGCTAGCTGACTGATTAAACCCTAAACCCTCTTACGCCCCAATCCTAGTACCTTTCAAACCCTAGGAAACCCTAAACCCCAGCAACAGCAAACCCTCAAGGGTTTTCAGTCTCTGTTTGACTCCTCACTGTCTGCTGAGGGTTTAGGGTTTAGGGTTTAGGGTTTAGGGTTTGTGCGCGCAGCTGAACGACTTCCGGAGAGTTGCGTTTTTCCGTTCTGTCTCTGAGCAAGAAGCCAACAGCAGCAGCAGCAGCGACAGCAGCAGCAGCAGCAGCAGCAGCAGCAGCAGCAGCGACGGCATCCGCTATCAATTCCGTCATTATACTGTCTCTCTGAAAGCAGCAGATATTACAGTAGGGGTAGAGAGTCTGCTCAAGGCTTCTGCTGGGGGTGCTGCTCAAAAGCAGCTGCTGCAGCAACTGCAGCAGAAGCAGACAGACGCATGCGATATGCTGCTGGCAGCAGAGCAGCAGCAACAGCAACAGCAACAGCAGCAGCAGCAGCAAAACCAGCGAGTTGTATTTGGTGCTGCAACGGGCCCCTCTCGCATATCGAAGTGCAGCACTTTGCAGGTAATACTGCCCAGCAAGCAGCAGCAACTGCAGCAGCAGCAGCAGCAGCAGCAGGAGCAGCAGCAGCAGCAAGAGCTCTCCATGGCTGTACAACTGAGAGAGATCGGCCCGCGGCTCGATTTGCTTCTTATTAAGATTGAAAATGACGTCTGCTCCGGCGAGGGTAAACCCTAAACCCTAAACCCTAAACACTCTCAACCCCACAAGAGCATATTTTCTGTGCCTGGCGCATCTGCTGTATCTGCTGCTGCTGCTGCTGCTGCGGCAGCAGCTGCTGTTGTTGACGGCGATGATGGCTTTGCTGCTACTTCATGCTTGCTGCTGCATCTGCGTCTACTGCTGCTGCTGGTGGTGCTGCTGCTGTATCTGCTGCACTTGCTGCTGCATCTGCTGTATCTGCTGCACCTGCTGCTGCTGCTGCTGCTGCTGCAGTGTTGTATCATAAGCATATCTCGAAGACGCCTGAGGAGTTGGAAGCCCTTAAGAAGAAGGAGCAGCTGCTAAAAGCAAAGAGGGAGTGAGGCTCTAGGGTTTAGGGTTTAGGGTTTAGGGTTTAGTCTACCGCGGTTTAGATTTGAAATTGCAGCTTTGACAGCAACAGAAACAGCAGAAGCAGCAACAGAACCAGAAGTAGAAGCAGCAGCAACAGCAACAGAGTCAGCAGCAGCAGCAGCAGCAGCAGCTAGAATCTGTGCTCTAGGGTTTGCTGCGCAGGGAGGAGAGACAGAAGCTGCTAGAGATGCTGCAGCCAAAGGGCAATGCGAAGGCAGCAGCAGCAGCAGCAGCAGAAGCAACGAATGGAGTAGAAGCAGCAGCAGAATCCTCTAAAGCAAAAGGGGGCGTCCAGAGCAGCAGCAGCAGCAAAAAGAGAGACAGAGACAGCAATGACGGAGACTCTGAAGAAGAAGAGCCGGAGAACGAATCTCATGCCGCAAAGAGACCCAAGTAAGTCTATAAAACCCTAAACCCTAAACCCTAAACCCTAAACCCTTGAGGGGGGGAGTAAAGAATACCCGCTGAGGCTCTTGTTTGTGTCTTAGGTTCAACCCCTTCACCTTCAAGCAGCGGAAGCCAGCAGCAGCAGCAGCAGCAACAACAAATAATCAGCAGCAGAAGCAGCAGCGGCAGCGTTCTCAATTTGGGGGCCGACGCAGCAAACAGCAGCAACAGCAGCAGCAGAGCCAAGCATCGAAGCGGAAGGCTGCTGCTCCCAAGGGCGGAGCAGCAGCAACAGCAACTGCAGCAAAAGGCCCGCAGGGCAGCAGCAGCAGCAGCAAGTGGCGCGGTAGCAACAAGAACCGGCGAATTCCGGATACAGCTGAGGTGTAGATATACTCTAGTTGTATTGCACTTGCAAAAAGCGTTTGGGGTGTACGTACACCTGAGATAATCTGCGAGCTGCGAACTGTGCACAAGCACATATTTCAATTGTGTTTGAAGGCAGTCCAAGCAAAGCCCCCAACAACAACACGCCGCAGGCCAGCCAGCTAGCTAGCTACCCAGCTAGCTAGCTGGCCTGCCGGCTAACTAGCTAGCTAGCTAGCTACCTAAGTAGCCATCTAGCTAGCCATCAAGGCAGCTAAGTAGGCAACTACGTAGCTACATAGGCCAGTGGAAAGCCAGCTAGCTAGCTGGGTAGTTCGCTAGCTGGGTAGTTGACTAGCTGGTTAGCTAGCTAGCTGGTTAGCTAGCTAGCTGGTTAGCTAGCTAGCTTGGTAGCTAGCTAGCTGGGTAAATGGCTAGATGGTTAGCTATCTAGCTAGCTGGTTAGCTAGCTAGCTGGGTAGTTAGCTAGCTTGGCAGCTAGCTAGCTGGGTAGTTGGCTAGCTGGGTAGCTAGCCAGCTACCAGCTCGGGAGGAGCGGCAGAACCTTCGTTGCCGCGCTGTGGCTAGCTGCTAGCTGGCTAGCTGGCAGCTAGCTGGCAGCTAGCTAGCGGCGGGAGAGCAAGCGGGAGACGCAACCTGAGAGGTTTGTTTCAAAGACGTTAAACCTACTTCTCGTGATGAAGGCCCCTGCTGATATTTTTCTACTCAGCACGCGCATCATCTTCAATTACACTGATTCTATCACAAGACCCTCGAGGGCCGAATACGCTAAAGGCCGACCCTGCAAGCATACCCAAACCCTAAACCCTAAACCCTAGGAGCCCATGACAAAAACCTAAACACTATAGGATACAGTAGATGTTGAAGCGTGATGAGCACTTGGAAGACGCTAACAAACTCAAAACCCTAAACCCTATAAAAACTACAAAGGGTGCTTGCTCTTCCGGGTTTAGGGTTTAGGGTTTAGGGTTTAGGGTTTAGTAAAATGCATGCAGTCAAACTTACTGCTTCTTTCCATCGGGTCCTTTGCAACAAATAACTCTAATTGTTTTTCAATTTCCTCCAGCACCTCGACGACGTCCTATGCACCCACAAACCCCAAACCCTTAAAAACCTAAACCCTAAACCCTAAACACCCTGGACAGCAAAACCAACAGCCTGCAACCTCCTGCTAAATGCTTGACGCAACCTGTTTGGGTTTAGGGTTTAGGGTTTAGGGTTTGGGGTTTTGCTGCTGCTTACCTCGACTGTTAATTCCTCTGGGGGGAACTGAGAAGCAACAAAAAGCACAGAGCAAAAACCCTCAAGACTAAACCCTAAACCCTAAACCCTAAACCCTTATCATGTGGCCTTCCTCCCCCCTTCCTCCCTGGCAATTAGTCTCTAAACCCTCTGCCCGACGCCCTGAGCAAGCCCTAATAATAATCGGAACATCAAACTCGAGCGTAGGCGGCAAGGGTTTAGGGTTTTTAGGGTTTAGGGTTTTTAGGGTTTAGGGTTTTGAGAACCTACAGCGTATGAAATCAAACGGGACTTCATACTCACGCCTTTGTAGCTGAAGCGCAAGGTTTCTGAACACAAGCAGCAACAGCAGCAGCAGCAGCAGCAGCAGTAGCAGCAGCAGAACTAGCAGCAGAAACAGCAACAAGAGCGGCAACCGCAGCAGCAGAAGCAAAGGCAAGGGCAACAGCAACAACAGCAACTGCAGCAGCAGCAATAACAGCAGCAAAGGAGCAGTTAAGCAATAGCAATTATAGCTGCTTAGACAGCTGCCTGGTTGAGTTTGCTCCTTACGACCTGCATCAACAGCACAGCAAACGGAACCCCAAACCCTAAACCCTAAACCCTAAACCCTAAACCCCACGGATTAAATGTTGTAGCATCTCAAGGCCAAAGACTGCAACCCAGCCTCTCCTAAACCCTAAACCCTAAACCCTGAGGCTTACAAGATCTATGAACAAGTTGGTGCCCAAGCAACGCAACTGTTTCCTGCAAGCACACAGCAACAAGAGCCCTCTCCCATCTCCCCTAAACCCTAAACCCTAAACCCTAAACCCTAAACCCTGAGGCTTACAAGTCTTCTCTCTTCCAAGCTGTGACCCGTAAACTGCAAACCCTAATCCCTCTTCCCCTAAACCCTAAACCCTAAACCCTTTTGCAGAACCTTTTAACTTACGTCTGGTTCTTCGACAGGGGCAGACCCTTGGTTGTGTTTAATGAGCTTCTTGAGAAGCGAGCCTAGAATAAGAAGAGCAGCAATACCGAAGACCCCAGCAAGAAGCTTAGCAGCAAATTTAATTGAGGCTTCTCTATCTGTTGACAGCAGCACTGTACGCTGCAGCTCGTCTGTCCCGGTTGTATATCGGGTCGTATCATCAGGCCCTCTTTCATAATCACCCTCTTCATCAAAACAAGCTGCACCATCACCATTAGCACAGGGGCCCCCAGGGGCCCCCTTCACAGGCTTATAGGTGCCCGCACGGCTTGAGGGCCCCTCCAGATCATTAGGCTCTGGGGGCCCCTGGGGGCCCCCAGGCCCTTGGGGGCCCCCAGGCCCTTGGGGCCCCTCGGGACCCTGGGGGCCCCCAGGCCCTTGGGGACCCTGGGGCCCTTGGGGCCCTTGGGGCCCCTGGGGTCCTTGGGGCCCCTGGGGCCCCTGGGGCCCCTTGGGGCCCTTGGGTTTGTTTGTAGGCCTACGCACTGAAGCGCCGTCTTGCGCGCGCTTCGAAGTAGTGTTTGTATTTCCTTTCTGGCGATCAGAAGAGAAATTTGCTGCTGTTGGTGATGGTGTTGTTGCTGTTGTTGCTGATGTTGCTGCTGTTGCTGCAGCATCTTTGCTGCGGGCTCTACGAGATGCTGTCCCTCTTTTGTTTGTACGTCTTAAGCCCGATCCGGTAGTTGTTGCAGGCTGCCGCTTCGATCTTGCATCAGCAGCTGCAGCACGTGGGTTTGATAATCTCTCGCTTTTCGTTCTTCTTGTTGTTCTCCTCGTAGGGCGTCTGCTGCTTGTAGATTTATAAGTGGGCCCCTTCTTAGAAGCCCTCCTTGTGCGGCGCTGCCCTATCGAGGTAGTCTCCTGCAGCAGCACATCCCCCTGCTTGTCAGCAGCAGCAGCAGCAGCAGCAGGAGCAGAAGGATCAGAAGCAGCTGGCAAGGGAGCAGGCTGTATAGACGCCGCGTCAGCTTCCGCTACTCCCACTAACGGCTCTACAGCAGCAGCAGACCCTCCGCATGCAAGAACAGCTGAGGGGGCAGCAAGCCCCGACAGCAGCAGCAGCAAAAGATCTCCCAAACGCATCCCTGAACAGCAGCAACCTTGTGGCTTGAATGCTGCTCCAGCTGCAGCACCAGATCCTGCTGCTGCTGCTGCAGCTGCTGCTGTTGCTACGGCTACAGCTGCTGGTACTGCTGAAGTTGCTGCTGCTGCTGCTGCAGCTGCTCTGCAGCAGCGCTTGAAGTCCCTCTATTGCTTCTCCCGCTGCTGCCTGTCCTCCCGCTGCGGCTGTGGCTGTTGCTTTCGTTGCGTCTGCTGCTGCTGGTGCTCGTGCTGTTGCTGCTGCACAGCCAGCAGCAGCAGAGTCATGTGAAAGGGCTGAAAATAAACAAGAGATTCATTGCTGCAGCATTGCAATACCAACGCTGCGCAGAGAGCGAGCTAATAAGATAGTAGCAGCGCCTTTAAAGAATAGATATACTTCGAGCAGCAGAACTGCAGCAGCCCCGGGCATCTGGGTTCAACTTGCAGCCAAGCTAAAGCAGATGAAAACCCTAAACCCTAAACCCTTAATCCAACAGAAGCCCTCCTTCTCGTAGGTCCTGTTGCAGGCGAGGCAGCTACTAGGGCAGAGGGGGAGAGACGCAGGAAACAAAGTTTGCTGCTGCAGTCTCTTTACCGGCTATGGAATCAAACGAGAAAGAAAAACAAGAATCTGCAGCAACAACAACTGCTGCTGCATCAAACAGCTGCTGCATGTACAGCCAGACCAGCAGCAGACCCAGAGAGCGCCTTGCTCGAAGATGCAGCAACGGGTTAAAAAGAAGAGAAGCAGGAGCGAGAGAGTTTCTTTTAAAGACACTCAAAGTACACCTCAATACAAAGGCTAAACCCTAGGGTTTAGGGTTTAGGGTTTAGGGTTTAGGGTTTACGGTTCGAGGGTTGCCGCCTGCTTTGCCTGGGGTCCTCTACACTGCTCTGACCCCCACCAGTATTCCTTAAGGGTTCTTGCAGCTGTTTGTGAGCTGCTTCTTTTTGCGTATAAAAAGCCCTAATTCAACGGTATAAAATACCTTAAAAATAAATTAATTATTATAAAAACAATATTAATTTAAGAAGCATACAAAGGCCAGTCAGTTGCTCCAGTTGCTTTACCCTCGCTGCCTCTAGCTGCTGCTGCGCCTGCGCAGCAGCAGCTTCAGTTACCTCCATAGTAGATATTCTTCCTTCATTTTTTTTGCTTTTTGCTGCTGCTGCTGCTGCTGCTGCTGCTTCTGCTGCTCTATATCCTTCAACAACAATCTGGCGCTCTATTGCAGCACTGCCTGTACCCTCAATGATACCCAGCTGGGCGAACCTGTGCGGCAGCTAGAGAGATGCAGAGGCAGCAGCGACAATACGTAGCCACATATACTTTCTCTGCTTCAACAAACCCTAAACCCTAAATATTAATAAACACTCGTATAACACGTGCTAGTGAACACTGGATCGGCAGTAATAAACCCAAGTTTTACACAATCGCCGTAGTGCTGATGATCCATACGCTGTTGCTGCTGTTGCAGCTGCAGCTGCTGCTGCACCCGACATCATGATGCCGTTGCCGCAGCAGCACAAGTCCAGAGAGTCTTTTTTGTGCTGCAACAAAATAAAACAAACGCCTAGAGAAATTGCTGCCAGCCCCTCTAAGACTGAGGAGCGCTGTGAGAACAGCCACTGGGTCTTGCTGCTGTCGCTGCTGCAGCGTAACGGAGTGTGCCCGCAGCTACAGCAAATGCTGCAGCTGCGCCTTCCCTTTCTTATAAGCACTAGTACACTGCCTAGACCTCCTCTGCTATTTGCTGCTGCAGCACAGCTACTACGGGAACGCGAGCTAACCAGTAGGCGGCGACGCCAAGCAGCTGCAGCGCCCCGCGCTGGCAAACTTATTGCTGCTGCTGCCGTTACTGCTTCTGTTGCTGCTGCTGCTGTTGCTACTGCTGCCTCGAGAGCGCCGCAGTGAGTAGGCCCAGACGGCCTGAGTGTGCATCGAGCAGACTCAGCTCGCTAGCCAGATAGCTACTCTCCTACCTATGGTGACTAGCCAGCTAGCTACTCGTACATAATAATACCATATATATAATAGCTAGCTAAAGGAGGCTCCTAATACAAGACAGGGGAAAGACAGGCCATCTAGTGTTTCATCGATGGAAATGAATCCGTTACTTTGACTACAGAAAGCAGCAGATTGCTGTTGCTGCTGCTGCACAGCACGCGCGCGGTACTGCTGCTGCTGCTGCTGCTGCTGCTGCTGCTCAGCTAGTGCGGGGTGTTGCTGCTACTTTCTGAACAGTGCGGGATCCTCCTGCGGTTGGTGCTGCCGCTTGGCTGCCCTGAAGCCAAACATAACTGGAGCTGTGCAGATGATGAAACACACAACTAGCTAGCTGGTGCGAGGAGGCCCCAGCTAGCTGTCGGCCTGACCCTTCGTATTCTGCCTTGATAGCCAGCCAGGCATTTTCTATGGACCTGCAGTCAACCTGTGGGCAAGGAGGCTCCGTAGCACAGCGAGTTATAGAGGTATCTATCTATCTAGCTTGCTAGTAAGCTAGCTAGATAGATACCTCTCTAACTCTCTAGTTAGGCAGCTAGCTACCTAGCCACCTAGCTACCTAGCCAGCTCCACAGCTAGTTACTTAGTTACCTAGTTCGATATCCATCTGGCTAGCTAGCTAGCTAGCTAGATAGCTAGCTAGCTAGTTACCATTTGTGCAGAATAGGCCTAGTTCATCCTCCTGGCCTGAATGCCCGTAGCAAACACCGCATCGGTGACTCCCCCCGTATTCCACACTGCGGGGCCGTGGCGGCCTGTTGAGACATCAACAACTGCGCATAATGCAGCTAAGTCTGACGGGCGATCCATCAGAAGAGAGTATGTTCGCAGCGTGGTTGCCAGTACGCAGCAGCGGCTCTCTTGCAGCATTTGCCCCACTGCAACGCAAAGCAACGTGCATGCAACACATAGGCAGCAGCAGCGTACAACAAATAAGCACGCATGCAATAAGCATTAGCAGCAAACCTGGATAACTAGTCTAGCTAGCCATCAATGCATTTTACCACCAAAGTATGCATCAGGTACGCAGCCAGCATCAAAGATGCCGTGGGTAGCCTTGGGGCTGCATGTGCGAAGGGTTAGACAAACAGAACTAGTCGCGAGTGAGCCAAGACCCCGCTGCTTAAGAGGGAGCCACTTCTCCAGGCTGTACAACAGCTAGCTATCCAGCTAACTAGCTAGCGATACAGCTATCTATGCAGCTAGCTAGCTAGCTAGCTTCCTAGCTAGCTCGGTAGGTAGCTATTTTGCAGCCCGGTGCACCTAAGTGGCTGAGGAGCTGGTGAAGTTTCGTGAAACAGTTCTTTCGGAGAGTTTTGTGGGCACTTACATGGCCTAATCATAGCGTTCACTTCTCTGAATTCAACAGAGTGCGAGGTGCCGATGTACAAGTCCTTTAATGTGTGGAAATCAATGCGAGAAGAGCCAGAGAAGAAACCAGAAAGGCCGAGGGTTTTCAGACATAAAGCACCTTCAGGGTACATCAGACGCAATTGCTTCCTCTTCACCTTCAACGAACTATGACACAGCTTCGAGCATTGCACGCCCCTGTTCAAACATAACACAATACCCGCACAAAGGAATGCATTCAATAGGTAAAACAAATACACTCCTATAATACATACATACATACGATATAAATACATATATATGTATACATATATATGTATTCATGTTCTCTCTGTCCCTACATTATGCAGATATATATATATATATATAGCAACCTTGAATTTAGTTGCAGTCCGCAGAGGGAGATACAGCAAAAGAAAACGACGGTGAAAACAAAATATGAAAGCTGGCGTTATCAGAAAATGTATAAATGTTTAAAGAAAGAGATGTACAGAAAAAGAGCGAAAGAAACAAGCGAAGGGGGCAGAGACCAACAAGGCCGATATATGCCAGTATTTTTGTTTCTTTCTTGTCTGTTACCTTCCGATCTTTTTGAGAGAGAAAGAGACAGAAAAGAGCCAACAGACCAACACCCAAGCGGATTAATATTAGAGATGATAAAAGCAATGACAAGCAAAGGAGAAGAAATAGAGAGGGGTACAGAGGTGAAGACAGAGCGGGAGGCAAAGAGATACACGAACAAACACAAGAAATACCCAATAATATACTGACGCAGAGAGGAAGAAATCATGCACTTGCAGCAGTTCTGTTTGCTGCTAAATGTTTCTCTGCTCTGTAGGGATATGCTGCTCTAGGCAAACGCATGCATGCATGTATGAGTCCGTTACGCCAGTCAAAAGCAACAGCAAAAGCAGACAGCATAACAAAACAAAGCAAAGCGACAGAAACGAGAAGACAAACTACGCACATAAACACTATAGCAACAAAGCAGTGATGCCCCTACTCTAAGTCCTCCCCCCTCAACACCGCAACAGAAGAAGAGTTACTGTAAAGAAAAAGAAGAAAGACTTTTTGAAAACAATACTACATTTAGAAAATTAGAATTAAGATTTTGTGTAGCCCCTCACGCTTGAAGTTTTGTAATCGCCTCCAAATACACATCCGCTATCCTTTCCCCTGCGCAGAACAACAAATGCAGATACACCACCACACCATACAGCAGCAACAGCAGCAGCAGCAGCAAGACCACCAACAACACAACTGCACAGCAGCAAGAACTCTCAGCTGCATCACCGGCACCACTAGAACAAGAGGCAGTGGCTGCCCACGTGCAACGCAGATCCACAACAAACAACTTGCTTACGTAGCAGCAAAGCAGCAGCAACACGAACAGTAGCAGCAGCATCAGAGCACTAGCGAAAGTAGCGCAGCAGCAAAAGCAGCAGCAGCCCACCAACAACAGCAGCAGCAGCGCACCAGCAACAACAGCAGCCGCACCGCACTTCCAGTAGCAGCAGTAGCAGCGCACTTGCAACAACAGCAGCAACAGCAACAGAGCATGAGCAACAGCAGCAACAGCAGCAACAGCAGCAGCAGCACACCGATCCCATCTTCTTTATACTGATAGAGAAGTGCTATGCGCACAGAAACCTGCGAGGGGAGGTTATACTCCCTCTCCAGCATTCGTGCCTTCGCCTGCACCTCTGGGCTCTTGTGGTCCTTCGCAAAATGCAGCGGATATCGATGGCTCTGGAAAGAGAGCACCAGAAGCAGCAGCAGCAATAGCAGCAGCAGCAGTGGCAGGCAACGGGATGCAGATAAGATGTAAGCGATTTGCGGATGCGATATCTCGCATGACCTTGTTCAGTGTCCAAGAGCTGCTGCTGTTTCTGCAGCAGCTTCAGTTGCTGTTGTGTTTCTCGCGTGCATGCGAAGCTAAAAATGAAAACGTGCGGAGCTCGTTTATGGTTTTTTGCATTACCCAGTCAAAACGATGTTCAAGGCGAAGGGGCTTCTTTGGCTGTGGCTGCTGGCGATTGTTTCCTTCCTCTGTGGAGGCGACGGGCGGGCTCACGGCGGGCTCCTCATCTTGTTGCTGCTGTTTTTCCTCTTGCTGCAGCTGCTCTTGCTGCTGCTGCTCTTGCTGCTGCTGCTCTTGCTGCTGCTGCTCTTGCTGCTGCTGTTGCTGCGGTGGCAGCGGAGGGTGCTCTTGGGGGTCACTGTGGTGCCCCTCATCCAGTGCTGAAAGCAGCCGTAGAAACCCAAACCGTATACCCTGAACCCCTTGCGCTTTCTCTGTGTGACGTGCATTCAAAACCCTAAACCCTCAAGCCATACTTACGTTCCGTGGGTGATTCAACGCCTTGGACTTGTATTAGGTGAAGAACTCTAGCTGGATCAGAGGAGGAATCTTTCTTGCCCTCCTTGAAGGTAAACCGTCTTTTGCCGTACCCCCTGAAGAAGCAACGGAGAATATATTACTACTGCTAACTCGCATACAGCTGAGATGCGAAATGTGGAATGTTCGCAGGGGAACGAGGAGGTGATGAAGTATATTTATACAGGAAGGTCTTGCTCTAGTGTTCTATGACCAGTGGTTGCTGTGTAAACCACTCACTCAAACACTTGATCTTCTTCGCCTTTCTGCTGCCTGGCGGCAAGCGCGGACTGAAGCTCCGCCATTAACCCCAGATCTCAATTTTTGAACAGAAATTTGCTGAGAGGCGGCATGCAGTATTCAGCTCCCCTATTGACAGGCGTGTCCAGTGAGCCGTGTCAATCTGAACTCATCGACGCTGTGGTGGCCTCGGGCTGGAGGCGAATAGGGAAGCCATGGGGACAGCAAGAGCTGTCTAAAGAAAAATAATAAAATATTCTACTTAAATCATAAGGGTTTGCAAAAGGTGGTGGGTCGTTTGGAAGCGCAGGACTATTCAACAGCAACCGCCACCACCTGCGACTTCGCACTTCGTCATTCAGTGCAGCGGCGGCACCCGATGCACGTGAGCAAGCAAACCTCTTTTTAGGAATTTATTATTTTCCTTTTTTTTCACATTAGAAAAGGACTTTCCATGTATTGCTGCTGTGTTTACTCGTCAAAGCAAGGCTCCTCCTCGGCGTACAGCTGTATGAGGGCTCCCTGGAGTGGCAGCGCGTAGACCGGTGTCGTTGCATTTGACAGTAGACCCCCACCAGAGGTAGAAGGAGGAACAGCATTAGATGATCTTGCCTCAAGTTGCAACTGTCGAAATTGCTTTGAAGCCCCCTGACCGCCAACGCGGCACTCTAACTAGGTCTGTCAATAGCACTGTCTAGGTTTCCGAGTTGCAGCTGCTCTGTTTTCACATATGACGGACAGAATTAGGCACAGACTACCAGCTGTTGAACCGCAAAATTCCTGAGCTGAAGACCTACCCAAATATTCATATTGTGAATGTCACGATATTGCGACTACTAAACTCACAGTGAGTTCCACTCCGCGCCTCGTTTCTTCTACATCTACACTCGAACTCACATCGTCGGATGAAACAAAACAACGCAGGCTTCAATACGCATAGAACGTTTCTTTCCCAAGTTTGCGCTGAGGCGCTTAACCCGATCTTCTGCCAATGCTCTGCGGCCCTTGCGTTGAATACAACAAATTAATCAGTAATGCGTCACGAAAGCTTCCCGCTTTGAACTAGAGCTTGGATCCAAGCTTCAAGCATGCTTGAAGCTTTACCTTTCTTTAGTTAAAGTTTCTAGACTGGCTTTTCTGAGGCCTGTAGGGCTACTTATAACTATGGGCCCACATTGTACAAGCAACTGGGAGTAGTGTTTGCAATGTTTGCAAACTCAGCTACCAGTTTTAATTCTATCTTCTGAACCTTTAAAACACCAAACTCCTGGGCTCTCTAGAGAGAGGGGAACAGCTTTGAAGACTGAAACGTAGATAAATTGGTTGGCTTGTACACTGTGTAAACTACTCTGCAATGTGTAAACCAACTACTATAGAATTTGCTACCCATGCAAATCTCACCTTGCCACTAGACAATTGCCCTGTCTGGGGGTGTTCTGCATCTAGGCACACGGGTAAGATGCGGTATTCACACTGCGTTTTAAATGGATGCGTTTGATGCCGAATGAGACGCGAAAAATAACGGGTACATTGTGAAGGTCTTAACCTCGACAGTGGCCCAGAGCTCGTCAGTGACCCTCGGTTTCGGCATCAAGAATACGCCCCTTACAGAACCAATTGCAAAATGTACTTGTTATTAATTCATTCGCAATTTTTTCACTGGCTCACTGACGCAAAAACCCACCAGCGCCTTCTCTACCTGGCTGTGCCCCGTTTGCTCCAGTAGCAGGCAACAACTTTGGCAGGGAAAAAACCAAACTCACTCACTGCTCGATAGATGAGTGAACTCAGCAAAAGGGCCAACCAGAAACAAAGAAACAAGGTAAGATGCACGAGCGGATATCCAAACTACTCTGCTGACTGTGGTGAAGTGAGGAAATACAGCCGCTACCAGCAGCAACAAGCATATGCGTGCATACATTATTGCACTAGCGGATGATGTCGGCCTAGCTATTTAGCGAAGGCTCCAATAATAGGAGCCGACCACGATGCTTAAACACGGAAGTAGGTTTGCGAATCCTGATGCAAACCCCTGATTAAATTAGAATGCCGAATCATCTGTGCCAGGCGAGTGCCCGAATATCCTGCAGGGCTCATGTATCCCGACCCTACGAGGAACAAAACCTCGTACTTTCGGAATTTTCATGATGCCCACCATAACTGGCACAGGCACCGCAGTGCCTAGTGCACTATCACTTTCGACGGCTAGGGGAAGCCACCTGCAGCTGGCCAAAGTGACATCATTTCCTCCATGAGCAAGCACCTCTTCCAGCACTTGCACAGACAGCTCAGGGTCGCACTCCCGCAAGCACCAACCTACACAGGGTTAACGATGGTCAAAGCAACCACTGATGCAAGTGCCGAGCGAAAGTACGCGTAATACATATTCCTTCCAAACCCAACGTGCTGTCTACGGATATACTGTCGTCTTTCGCATCAACACGTACAGAAACAAATTCTCAAGCAGTTTAGAAACCCGGAGTTGATCCGTTCAACTCCATCCTCATGCGCTGAACTGTCAAACGCACTTCCTGCATATAGTGAGGGGTATCATGGGTGGGACGACAGCCGATACGCGCATCCGCAAGACCCTGAGCCGGCAATGACTTGTCACTGTCCCCGAACCTGCCAACAGGGCGCAGGCCTACATCCTGCTTGAATATTTGTCCTGCGTAGTATACTATGTTGAGCATGCCATATATCGAAGTGTGCTACTCACTTTCTGTGGATTTGATGCTGCTCCACAGTAGCCACACACCTCGCTAGAGCCCGCCTGGCAGTGTTAAGCTGACAGAGTATGTGAGCATAGGAAGCACGGCGCGCACCTACTGGCGAGCTATCTGTTGCGGTAAGCAACGCGCAATAGATCTGCAAGTAAGCAGCACCTTCGCGCCTATCGTCCCTTCCAAACTTACTTCCTTCTTTTCGGTGGTGGCCACTGCAGCTAACACACACATCGGCAAGTCGGTGGGTTGGCGGTGACGTGTGTCATTGCCCCCACGCGACAGCGTGGTCTGGCTGCCAACCGGGCTCAGGCCCACCTCCTGCATAAATTTTGTTCTGCAGAGATTAATGAGTCGCATATGCCATGCATCAAAGTATGCTACGCACTTGCTGAGAATTTGATGCTTCTCCAGAGTAGCCACACACCACGCTACAGGCCACCTGGTAGTCAGGCAGGGGGCACTGCTGGTAGGTGACTGGCGGAACAAGCAAGACTCGCACCTGCCGCAATATGAGCAGCTACGCGTCGCCGTGAGAAATTCACAATACATTTGCAGGTTTCAAGGACTCTACAAGCAACGTACTCGCGCCTGCGGTCCCCTCCAAACTTACTTCCTGCTTTTCAGTGGTGGATACGGCAGCTGACACACACGGGTGCAAGCTGCCGGGTCGGCAGTCACGATATTATTGTCCCCGCGCGGGCTGGATGCCAACCGGAAGCAGGCCTACAGCCTGCATGAATTTTGTTCTGCTTAGTATACTAAGTTGCATGCGCCATACACCGAAGTGTGCTACGCACTTGCTGAGAATTCGGTGCTCCAGAGTAGCCACACACCACGCTTCAGGCCACCTGGTAGTCACAAGCTGACAGGACATAGGGCAGCATTGGTGGGTGAGTGGCAGAAGAAGCTGGTTTTCACCTAGCCCAATATGAGCAGCCACGCGCCTCCGTGAGGAACGCAAAATACATCTGCAGGTTTCAAGAACCCTACAAGCAGGGCTTCCGTACCTGCGGTCCAATGCAGTGTGTGCGGCACCACAGTGCGTACCACGAGATCCTTAGCAGCATCCTACCAGGTGCACAATCTACAAACCGTAACATCACAGGCAGCCTGCCTGTTGCTCACATATCCGCTTGCAGCCCGTCAAACTATCGGCGTTCCCAGTCATGGTTGCCTGCCGCTTTACCAGCGTTACGTCTTCTCCAATTATTTTCCTGGAAGACTGAGCATGTTCGATCGCTGGCATAAGCAACCCATACAACGCTCGGTGGTGGTATGTCCTTCAAACGAGAGAGAAGGTGTTGTTCTAAGAACACCCACAGGTGGGCGAAATGCGGACGCAGCAAGACTATCGCAGCAGGCGTTCATCTCTTGGGAGTTTTGCATGGCTTATTTCACAAACCTCGTGCAAATTTAAATGCCTATTCCCGCTACGCTTTGGTGCCCTACATTCGGTTGAAAGTCACGTGGTTCGTAGTGGTTTGCCACGGGCTACTGAGAGCTAGGCGAAATCCCCTGCAACTAACAAAACTGAAATCATCGCATTCTGAGTGAATTCACGTCTGCTGGATGCCGACCACCCCAGCAGATGGCTCAGGGTCGAACTCAATCAATAACCTACACTGGCTTAAAAGCCGTAAATGCAACCACGAATTCTTCTGCCGAACTAAGGACTTGCAAAGGAGAGCGATCCATAGTACTTTTTAACACAGGAAGCACTCTGTGGATCTTTCCTTGTCTTCCAAGCCATCAAACAGCGTCAAGACACGCCGGCTCTTCCTCTGTGGGCTGCTCAAGCATTTTCAACAATTCAAGAAGGCTAGGATGTACTTGTTGTAACCCACAAGCATGCGTTTGAGTTTCGCTAATACTGCCTGCGTAATAGTGCACACGGGAGCTGCAGCACGCATCCATAATGGGGGTGGCAGTGTCGTGTGTCTCTGTCCTCGCGCGACCAAATGCATTGTCTGCCAACAGGGCGCATGCGCTAGTTCCTGCCTGAATGTTCGTTGCACACATTGTGCATGCCATTCATCGAAGTGAGCCACCCACATTCTGAGGACGTGATGATTTTGCAGTGCAGCCATACACCATGAGAGAGGCCGGCTGGTGGTCTCAACCTGGCGTGGCAGAGGGCGCTGCTGGTAGATGAGTGGCAGAAGAAGCAGGGTGCACAACTACTGCAATCTGAGCAGCTGAGAGTTGCCGTGAGCAACGCACAATACCTCTGCAGGTTTCAGGAATCTACAGGCAGCGCCTTCGCTCCCGTGGTCGCATGCAGTCCGTATGGCAGCACAGTGTGTACCGTTAGCACCGTTAGGGTTTTGGCAGCAGCATACCAGAGGCACTCAGGCCCAGGGGCACCATCAACTTGTCGGTGACTCATGTGGCTGTCTGCGGCCAAAGTAACTAGCGGCGTTGCCAGCCAGAGTTGCTCGCCTGTCTAACGCAGCAACGCCTTCTCGAATTATCCTCCACGACAACTGAACACGTTCCTCCGCTGTGATACGAGATCTCCACAACGATCGGCTGTGACAAGCCCTGTCGTGCATCGAGCGAGGGAACGAGTTGAGCACGTAACAGGATCAGGGCGGTAGGCGCGCATCGTGTAAATAAGAAGGCGGCACTTTTGTCAGTTGCAGATGATTTCCACTAGCCTTGTTCTCCAGTGTTTTTCACATACCCCGTTTCACGAACCTGGTGCTAATTTCAATGCTTCTTTACATTCCGCTAGAGGCTACACGCCTGCGCCGAACTGTCAAACGTACTTCATGTATGTCAGGGGTGGATAGTGCAGCTGTCGTGCGCCCCTTGAAGACGCTGGGCCGGCAGCCACGTGCGTCATTGTCCCCGCCAGGCCAAGTGAACTGGCGGCAGACCTAATTCCTGCATGAATATTGTTCTGCCTAGTATGCCAACATGAACATGACATGCATCGACGACGAATGAGACGAACTTTCTGTGGATTTGATGTTCCTCCAAAGTAGCCGCACACCTCGCTACAGGCCGCCTGGTAGTCTCAAGCTGACACGATAAAGGGCACTGTTGGTAGGTGAGTGGCGGAAGAAGCACGGTGTCGGCCTACTGCAACCTGGCCAGCTACACGCCGCACAATGCATCAGCATTCCGAGAACGCTAGATGCAAAGCTTGCTCGCCTGTGGCCCCATGCAATCTATACGGCACTACAATGCGTACCGCTAGCATAGCCAGATTCTTGGCAACAGACTACCATTTCCACAATCAATAAAGCGCAGTGTTCGCCACCAACCTACCTGCAACGTGTGTGCATCCCATCAATCTAGGGGCGCTGGCGGCCATAGTCGCCTGCCGCCTTACTAGAGTAACGCCATCTCCAATTATTCCCCTAAGCAACTGAAAACATTCGTCCCTGGACTTACAAAGCCTCTACATCGATCGGCTACGACACGCTCTACGGCGCATCAATCCGAAGGCCAGATGAGCACGCAGAAGGACTACAGTGGTTGGCGCTCGTCGCTTGTGGTTTTCACATGCCGCAGCTAAGCACTCTTGTGCAGCCTCGAGTGCGTATTCCCGTTACGTCTCTGCGTTCTACGCTAGGTGTAAGGACAGCGCCGTTCATAGTGCGTTACCACGTTCGCCTGCAGCGGCTAGCGGGAACCGCCTGCAGCTGACAAAAATTGCTATACCCGTCAGTTGTCGACAAGTCGAAGAGAAAGCTCCGGGCTGCATTCAAGCAAGCACCAGCCTACACAGGCTCAATGATCGTCAATGCATCCACTGGTGCTAGAGCCTAGCTAAAGATATGCAACGGCATGTGACCCATATGGATTTGAAACCCAAGACGCACTCCATGGACCTGCCACTGTCCTCTAAACCGAAAAGCCGTGCCCAGACAAACCGCTTCTGCCTCTGTGGGCTGTTCAAACATTTCCAAACATTCCAAGAAACCCAGAGTTAATTCGCTGCTGAACTATCAAACGTACTTCCTGCATATCAGGGGTGGACGCCCCAACTGAAGCGCACCTCTGCAAACCGCTGGGCCGGCAATTACCTACGTCACTGTCCCCGCGCGACCGAGTGCACTGTTTGTCAACACCGTGCCCGCCTACCAACTGCATGAATATTTATTCGGGAACCAGTAAAGGCGTCCTGGAAAAACTAGCGGGTCGATTAGCGGGGCAACTGGGTTTGTGGAGGTCGCCGCTCGGAGGCTTCACAGCTTGTGGTTATCTTAAAGAATATCAGCGTTTATGCGCTGCGTATTATGTTAACTTGAACCACACATCGAAACATGCAACGCGCTAGGGGATTTGATGTTGCTCCACAGTAGCCACGCACCACGCTGAAGCCCTAGTAATCTCAAGCTGAGAAGACACGAGGGCACTGCTGCTATGTGGGTGGCAGAAGAACCAGCGTGCCCACCCAACCCAACGTGGGCAGCAATATCTCGCATAAGGAGCGCAAAATGCATCTGCAGGTTCCAAGAACCCCACAAACAACCTCTGCTCGCCTGTAGTCTCCTCCAAGCTTACTGCCTGCATATCAGAGGTGGGCACGGCAGCTGACCCACCCATCGGCACGCCAGTGGTTCGGCAGTCGCGTGTGTCACTGTCCCCTTGCAACCGGGTAGTCTGCCTGCCAAAATGGAGCACGCGCAACTCCTGCGTAAATATTTGTTCTATATATATATGATGTTTTGCAAGCCATGCATCGAAGAGTGCTACGCACCTTCTCCTGATTCGATGTTTCTCCAATGTAGCCATACACCACGCTACAGGCCGCCGGGTAGTCACAAGCCGACAGAGCAGAGGGCAGTGCTGATAGGTGAGTGGCAGAATCCGCCGCATCCCCACAGCTGCTTCTCGCATGACGAGCGTAAAATGCAACTGTGGGAAAACGACATAAGCAACGTTTTCGCTCCATCTGTCCCCTCCGCGCCTACGTCCTGCACGCCAGGGGTGGACACAGCAGCGGACGCACGCATCGGCAAGCCGCCGCGTCAGTGACGTGTCATTGCCCCCGAGTGGCCGAGCACTGCCCCAGCCAACAGGGCACAGGCCTGCTTGTCAAATAACTACTGCACTGCCTAGTATGTTAACGCGAACATGACATGCCAGGCATCGAAGGGTGCTGCGCACTTTCTGCGGCATCAATGTTACTCTAGATCAGCCACGCCGCACGCTACAGGCCGCCCCGTAAACTCAACCTGAGAAGGCACAAGGGTCTGTCGACAAGTAATTGGCACAAGAAGCAGAGTGCGCAACTGCTTCAACCTAGCCAGCTACACATCGCCATAAGCAACTTAAAATACACCTGCAGGTTTCAAGAACGCTGCCTGCAG